TATTTATCAAAAGTTGCTACTCAGCTTGAGATCTTTATAAGTCTACATTTACATCCAAGTTGTTTTATATTATCGCAGTAGGAGGATGAACATATTATTCTTATGCATATTTATCTACTTGTATTTTCAACAACGTTTTAATGCATTTATGATTTAAATTATATCAAAATGAACTCATGGGCCATGAAACCTACTTGGTTATCTGTTAAAACTGACAACCTTATGTAACATCATTCATTTAAACAAAAAACAAAATTAGTCTCATGCTTGAATTCTGGATTAAGTTTCAAATTACATACCAACCAATTTTTCTAATATTCTATGAAGTCAACTACAGAGAAGCATCTAAATGCAGCATAAATATCTTCTTATGAATTCACAGCAATGAATAAAATATCCTGACAGGATAACTGAGATTAGAGTGTGTACATTCATCTGAGAGAAACATTAGGAGCCAACTCCGTGTGACTTACCTCTTTCTGATTCCTTGATTGCCAGCCATGATATTGTAATTAATCCAACACAGATCACCACTAATATGCCAAAGAGAACACCCAACATGATTTCATAGGAGCTCAGAGAATGGTGCCTTGAAGATACACTTCTTTGTGACCCCATTTTTCGTTTTTGAAGGTTTACTAATTTAAGAACTGTGACAGAATATAAATACCTGCACCAACTGAAGAGCGAAATCTCTCAAAGTTTTAAAGAAGATTTGTAAACCAACAACAACCTGTCTCCACTCCTACTAGTCAGTGTAAATGAGTTGTGTATGTCCTTTTGGCAACATTGCGTCTCTATTGGTTAAGTATCATTAAAAGGGCAGTTAATCTTTAAGAAGATATACATGAGTAAAAATGCCTAGAGTTGTAAATGTTAATCACCTGAACAGGCCATTTGGCAAGGTGAATGAAATTAAATTCATGTTGTAAACAAAAATGATCCGTCATCATTTTGAGAACTATTAGGAAAAAATTTGAAATTTATGATAGAAAATTAGTCATCAGGCACATGCACTTGATATTCATAGAGAAAGTACCTAAAAGATCAATCTTCTACCCTCTGACTCAGATCATGATTAAGGCATTTCTCTTGTCATGTGTGGGCATGGACATTCCAAAAATAACTTTTATGCACAAATGTATGTAAAGCCTAACATATGTATTCTCTCTCATGCACACTTTCTCTTTCTCTGTCTCTAATGAAACCATCTGAAGTTTTATGAACTTTTCGTCACCCATGAAGTTACACAGTGTAAGGCACTATTGATTTATCTTGAAGAAAAGTCCACTTAAGCAAGGCATCACGCAGCTACTCTTTATAGCCTTGCGCGGTTATCAGTGAATGGGCGTTGCTGCCATAGAAGGAATAACATACTTGTTTCTCTTTTAGGGAAATTTTCTGGGTGGGGAAGACATTGCTCATTTGTCCTAGACTTTATCTCCTTAAATGTGCCAATTATAACAAGAAAACAGGTTAAGATAACCACA